AAAATAATAAAAATAAAATGATAATATGTTAGAATTCTAACTGTCCTGGAAAAGCCAAAAGTGTTTTCTTGTAAGAAACATTGGAGAAGGCAATTAATTGTTTGAACACAGGACTGGCAGCTTGTTTTGTCACAGCTGAAACTTCCCTTTAGGGTTATTGATGTGATATGGTGGCTCTGCAAAATTTTCAGCAGCTTTATTAAGCAGTAAGAAGTCTAAGCACTTCAGAGAGTCTCATTCCAAATATTTTAAATTCAAACTGATCCCTGAAATACTCTGTTATTCCTTTAAACATATATCATCCCTCAAAGCTCTTCTGGGAATGTCATCATGGGAAGAATAATGCATCATCTTACCTGCAGTAGTTATGCTTGCCCAGTCCAAGCTGCAGAGCGTTCTTCAAATCAGCATGGTAATCACCCCTCCTGATGACTGAAGGAAGGTCCCAATACAGACAGCCTGGGTCTGCTGCCATTCCTCTGTAGCTCTCCCCATTCCCACTGTAGCATATGCTGTCAGTGTCTGAGAAAACAAACATTTGTAAGCAGCATGTTCTGTTTATAATTGTTCTGAGACAGAAGTAATCTGTATGGGTCATTTTAGTGATAAAGTGTGCATTTCACAAGAAAAAAGATGATACAAAATCTGGATTGATTATATATTCTTACTTTATGCATGAAATAATTTATGCTTTATTCCAAGTTGCTTTTTTTTTTTTTTTTTTTTTTTAAGCAATTTCAATGTACTTCACAATGGATACTAACAAGTTCATTTTACAAGCTACAACGTTATTGAGGGATGGAAGAACACTTCTGAGGAGGGAGGGACAAGAAAATTAGAGATCCCAATTTTGCTCCATTATTTGGCTATTTCTCCTCACCTTCATTATTATTTAAAAAAAAACAAAAACAAACAACAAAAAAAAACTGCTGAAGGATATTAAGTTGTGTTTATAGGTAGCACTTTCACTTGAGAATCCTTATTCATGATTTTCTTACTTTTCCAATTCATTTAGTTAGTATTAAAGAGGGTGGATACCCTACCTATTTCACAGTGAAGTCCACCATATCCTTCTGGGCACAGGCAGCGCTTCATTTGGCTGAAGAACTGATAGGTAATGCAAGTTCCACCATTCAGACAGTGGCATTCTGCAAATGAAAGATACCAGTAGTAAGAGGCAAAACACTTGAGTGGTTGAGTGAAATGCAGTTGCAAACTAAGTTTCAGCTGCATATAATTGAAAGCCTTCTCTCTTAGATAAAGATGTAATTGCAGGCTAACAAGCTCTTTTTAGGTTCAAGTAGAACAGAGGTACTTACCTCTATGTTGGGGTCTGTGTTTATGTGATAACTTGTAGTACTGCCTCATGTAAACCTAAGCAGACAAAAAGGAAAGAAATTATTGAAGGACGCAGTTCCTTTGACATGTTTCTATTACGCAGTACAGGACTGTGCTGTTTTCTACTGCATGCCTTCTCTAACAATTTAAAGTTCTTGTGTGTAGTTGCTAGCTGAATTTGCTCTACTGAGTCTACATATGATCATATATGATCTGTGTATGATTGAAGTGGAACTCTGAACAAAGCAGATGAACACATCACACTAGAAAACCCTCTGAAGAACTCTACCAATCTGCTCCCACTGCACCTGGTCAACATTGCAGTTATTTCTTCTGTGAGGATCTGGCCAGTTCCCAGAGGTGAAAAGATAAATTCTCCCTCCACGCCTCTCAGGTACTGAGCAGTGCAGCAAAGGTGGAATGTGCTCCAGCTGCCTGTCACTGGTGACCTTGGTGCTTCATGCTTGTGCATGATAGTCAAAATATTCAAAATCAGGTCTGTGTCTCCTTTTTCAGCTTTGTATTCAAGCAGGTCAAGGACAAATTTATTTGAAGGCCCAATTTTCTCCTATATAAAACACCACTGAGTTCTTGGTACTTTGTGTCCAGGTCCAAGCTGTTTCATAAAAAGATAAATGTTGGATTTCTTGGTAACTGTATGATGTCCTCACTATTTTAACCCTAGAAGACATCTCAATGTGGAACAGAATCAGAGGAAAAAACAGTGTTCAAATATGAATTTTCTGGAGATATATGTGCAGCAGATGTAAATGCAAAGGCAGCAGAAAGAGCAGTTCAAGTCAGAAATCCAGCACTGTGTCCAAAGCAGAAGTATAATTAAAAAAAAAAAAAAAAAAAAAAAAGGAAGTGGATCCAAGTAAAAACCCCCTCACTTATTTCAAAACTTACAGAGTCTAATCCTGTGACAAGCGTGCCGAGAGTTATTGTGAAGAGGATGAGTAACTTCATGTTGATAGTTAAGTTCTCACTTTGTTCCTCACCTTAGTTTTCTTTCGATTCTGAAAATAAAAGAGGAATTCAGTGACATGTTGTATCTTGCAGCATCAGCTTTCTTGTGGCTGTTGTCTTACCTGGTTTGAGTAACAATACAGTGGGCAGAAGAATTGAGAACTGACTTAACTGTGGAATGTCTGCATATTATTTCCATAAATTAGCTTAGATTTGCTATGATTAGATTAGCTATGATTTTATCATTTGAAGCTTTTTTGTGCATTTAGAGACACAGATTTTTGCAGAGTTCACATGAAGCAGAGATAGGGAAGCTGGAGAAATCCAGACTCTGGGTTGTGGACTACTCTGCAGTGTGGACTAGCAGTCAGAAAGCGGCAGATCTATTTAGCTGCAGTCCAGCTCTTTGTGCTCGTTTAACTGATTATTACTGCCTTGCAGCAAGACTTCTAAACAGTCTGAACATGCACACTGAAGCGTGGGAAGGAACACTCAGCTTTCAGTGCCTCCCGAGCTGCCGGCTGGCTCTTGCTGCTGCTGAGAGCTTGCGTAAGCCCAGGCACCTCAGGAGCGCTGCAAAGTCCTGAAAGTCTGGTCCTGCGGTTGCTGCATGTATGGTATTAGAGAGGCTTAAACCTCTTCTGTCCTGATTTTGTGTGTGCAGCTGCCTGCTGCAGCCAAGCACACAAAGGGATCAGCCCAAGAGTGAGTGTTACAAATCAGCCTGCAAAAGGATAGGGGGTTGCTTGAAAAACCAGCAAATATAAAATTTGCAGTACAAGTCATGGGAATGAATACTGGATTATTATTATTATTATTACTGAAAGAGAAAAGCACCTTCAGTTCTAAAATAAAAAAAAAAAAAAAAAGAGAAAAGTTAAAAGAAGCCATAGGACCTTGGTTTGTGTGACTCTAGTGAGCAATGCAGAGCAGGTGCTGAAGTGCTGCTCTGTGCTTTCAGAGGTTCTGACATCAGACCAATTTTGGATTGGTCTTACAAACTGAATGCCCACAGACAGTGGGACTGCATCTCCTAGGTTTAACGACAAAGAGATGTGGTGACTAGACTGTAAGACCATAATGTGGTGCTGGTCCAGCTACGCGAGAGGAACAGGGGGTTTTTATTTCAAGAAAACGCAGACATGGCCCAAAGCAAACTACTGATGCAGCACAGCCCTTGCTCAGAGGCAGGCTTCATAATGCAGGGAAGCAGCCTGTGCCCTGTGCTCAGACATGCTTCTCAGGTGCAGCTGGGACTGCAGCAGATGTGCGTTCTCTTGAGCGTTATTCAAATTAAAGCAGCAATTTTTAACTCCTCTGGCAGGTACGCGACTAATTTGCTATCCATTACCGTGATTAAATCCTCAGGCCCACCCCCCAGCATCCAGCAGCAGCACTGCCGATTTCTGTTCCGATCCCGCTGCCAGAGGGCGGCGCGCAGAGCAGAGCTCTCCCGTTACCGACGCGACACGCAATCTGTACTTCGGCGTCGCTGATTTCAAGAGCGATCGCTAAAGCCTGCCGCAACGCTGTCCGCGGACGCAGCACTTACCGACCGGAGCGGCTGAGCCAGGCACGGTGCAGCTGCAGCAGCGGTGCGGAACGGGCGCTATAAAGGCCCGGCCGGGGCGGTTCCTCAGCCGCCGCCCGCCCGCCCCGAGGCGTTCCGCAGCGCCGCCCCCGGGCAGGGCCGCCCCCCGGGGCTGCGGGCGCCTCGCCGTTGCCTCTGCGGGGCCGGCGGTGTGACTCGGGGAATTGGGGGCCGCTGCTGGTTTCGGGGCGGGGGAGCGCGAGCAGCCTGAAGGGGGCGCGGGGCTCCTCCTCGCCTCCGTGGGGCGGCCGGCGATGCGCGATTAAGCGTGGTGAAACAAAAGAGAAACGTGAGAGGCAGCCATGAAAAGAACGGCTTGTGTTGAAGCGTGCTTAGAGGCGCGAACAAGCGTGGCGTACTTAAATTTCAGATTTGTGGCGCCGTCCGTGAAGAATGAAGCCCAAATGCTTTCGTGGTTACGAGGATTAACTCCGCTCAGGTGTGGGTGAGGGCAGAACACACCTGTGCGGAAGCCTGGGGGGTTCCTCCGGCCCATCTCCGTTGCTCGGTGGGGGCGAGCTGCAGCGCCAATAGCCTGAGGCCCTGCGCTTCCCTAAGAGGTGCTGTGCCTTTGCCGTGTAGTTTCTGCTTTCCAAAGAGGTATTTAAAATGCGGCCATGTCACGAATGGGGATGGCGACATCCTGTCTCGTACTTCAGGCCCTGGAAAACAGTCTCCTCTACTCCCAGTGAAGTGTGATTTCCCACACTGGGCTGTGACACTGCAGCAGTGCAGTGAATAACAAAACCCACGCGTGGCATTTGCAGGCATAGTGGTAGTGTTCAGCCTCAGGTACTGGGGTGACTAAGCTGAGGCAGGTCTCCTGCGGCCGGGTAGCTGATGAAAGGCAGTTTCTTCAGGTGCTGCTTCAGAGCAGGGGATGACATGAATTTCGTTTGGGAGGAATGCTTTTCATAATTGGGCTATCCGGAGCTTAAGGAGACCAGCCTTCTGTGTTTGACATCTAACTTCATTGGTAAGAAAATGGCTGAGTTTTCTTCTTCCTTCTGCATCTTCTCTTATTGTTGAGTCTTTGTTGTAGAGCCACCCTTACTGAGGAATTGTATATTTATCTGCTCTATTCCTTTTTGTTGTGTTTCAGCTCCTCAGGCTAATGTTGGAACAGACTTCTCCACAGAGAGTGTGTTGAATTCATGTTCTCTGGATAACAGAAATTGAGTCTAGAGAAACGGATCAAGATGGAAGTCCAGAAATGGGCATAGGTAAGGAAGAAATCTTCCTGCATTTCAGGAGACTGAATTTTCCTATCTCTCTGTGACGTCTGAATATTAAAAGCGAATGGATCCTGTAAGAAATAGGGGGGATAACATTAAGGTAGGATCCCTACTGCTCTTTCTTCAATCTAGAGGACTGTCTGTGATGTAAACTTATTCTAGGGATTAAATTCGGTGAAAAATAATCCAGATTTTAAAAGCAATCTGGAACTTTTATGCTTTGAATGAATTTTAACACACTATTTTTACAAAGTAAGTAAAGAATGGGTCATAGTTTGATTGAGCAGAGGGAGAGGGGAAGGAAGAAGCTTCCAGGAAGAGAAGGGGCTCCTCCGGGTCTGGACAGCTCCTCTCCTTCCTCCTCCACCCCTTCCAGGGAAGAGGTGCCAGGCCTTGGCAGTTTCCTCAAACCTTCTGGAAAAAGAGTCAATGCTCGAGCATCAGGATTTCCTCTTTCACTCTTGTTCCCTGAGGAGTATTTCAGAAGTGAGTAACGACCCTCTCCCTGAGCTCCTGACCAAGCAATGTACATGTCACCTGTTCCTCTTCATTCATTCTTGTTTCAGAGGCTGACAAGCCAAAAAAGTTTGTGTTTTCACTCTGGCACAAGGTTTGACAAAAGCCAGAATTCCCTTTTTCTACTGTTTGGCACCTAGGTTTTACTGAAATTCTGTGTTACTTTATCCTTAATGACAAGTGGCCTGGTCTGTGGTGTCACTTTGTTTCAGTCACGAGGATAAGATACTGATCGCAAATGGTCTGCCAGGTTGGTATTACGTCTTTGGTGTTGATTCCTTTGCCTTGAATATTTGCACCTAAGGAGGTGAATAAATGATAACTAAGCCATTGTGAAGTAAAAATACTGTTCAGGAGAGTGAGATCCAAGAAAGCTGTAGGTGAGTTTGCTTTGGTAGTGGAGGCAACCTCAGAGCAAATAAGACCACATGATCTCCATAAGAACTGAATGTTGTTAGGGAAGCAGAAATGGCTGAGATAATTTGCAGTGCTTGACTTCACGGAGCTAACTGGTTGATGGCTGCTACAATAAGATCTGAGGTGAGGCTGCAACTGAAATAAACTCTTGGGCTTGTAAACGTCCTGCCTTCTGGCAGAGGCCTTGGAAAAGCTGTAGTTTGGCAGTTCTGGCAACACCTCATGTCAAGATCTTATAGCTAGACCTGCCTGCACAGATGTGAAATACTCCTGCCCAATGAGTAGGACAGGTGAAAAAGGACTAGTTCTGCTACATAGAGATTTTTTGATAGCTTCAGGGGCAGGATTTTTTCATTATTGCACCTCTCAAGAGGTTGGAAGAACCCTGTTGAAAGTCTTTTACTTGCTTTGCCAGCAACTTCTACCTTCTACTGTTAAATTCTTTCTCCTTTATCATGTCTATGGTTTCAACACTTCTATTATGCGAATTTAGGAGAGGTCTGGGCAAGACGGTAGGGGAAGGAATCAAGAGAAAACAAAGGTGCTACAAAGTGTGGCAGGATTGATCTTGCAGAGGGCAATTTACCCTCCTGCATAGGAATGTAGCATCTGATTAAAAAAAAAATACTGTTCACAAAATTTGAAGTTGTTCTCTCATTTCCGTGCTTAGAACTGCTAATAACGTATTTTTTTCTTTTGTCTGTACATGGATTACAGCACTTAGTAAAGAAAATATATATGAATGGTGATTACTAGCTGCTCATTTGGTTCAAGTGTAAACCCCTTGGGATCGTATAATACCTCTTTCAAATAGAGTTCAAATGCAGTGGATCCAACCCTGAAGAGCTAGTATGATTAGGAGCACAGTCAGACAATTCTTGCTTTCCTGCAATCCAGTTACTGATAAAAATCTTGCTGATTCTTTTAATTTATAGTTGAAATAACTTGAATGTTTCAGATTAGTCTGCCAGCCTGACCTAGCAAATATTGAAAAGATAACATTTCATTCCAACTAGATGAGGACACTGACCCTTCTAATGAAAAACAGATTTTCTTATCTTATGGTGGTGAGCTGAAAGAGATTATGAGGTTTGTGCTGCTTTGTGGCTGTCACTGGGCTAGAGGTGTTATTAGTTCCAGTATTCTTTTTCATAGCTGGTGATAAAATATTAAAACTAGGGCAAAATACCATCCACCATGCACTTTCTGGTAGTCCATCAGCAAACTACACAAGGACAGAATTCGTAGAGTTGAAATAATCTTACCACTCATTGTGGTACTCTGATGCTCCACATTGATACTCTTAGACATAGACTCTCTTTGACCTCATTGGAATTTTCATGTGTTTTAGAATTAGAGCCAATACTTGGACATCTGCCCTAATTCCAAACACTTGGCACTGGGAGCAGGAACGTTCTCTGAGCTTCTGCTAAAGGTAATGGGACTCAGTGCAGGGGAAGCAGTCCCCCGTTCAAGGTGCTTTGAGAATCGGGACTCTGTGACCTTCTGTCACCTTCAGTCTGTTACTTGTGAGGAGTACGTTCTGGTTTGTATCACATATAAGTAACAGTCCTTTGTCTAGTGATTTTCTGTCCTGACAACACAGCTTCTAAGTTTTCACACGAGCAGTTATATGTGCCTGAACCTCTGTCACCTCACAAAAAAGATCAGAAGTAAACTTCACATTCAGTATTCATGTCTAAGTACACATAAGCCAATACAGCACCTAAATCCTCTGGACGTAATTTGTCTTGTCTGTAATGGTCATGGGTTGAAAGTAGGTCACCTGCCTCCTGCTATGTGTATGGGGATATGAAGAACACAGCTATCTTGACATCTGCTCTGTGTATTAGAATGGTGCTTCAGAGTTAAACAGTATTGGGTTACAGTAAATGTTTGGATTATGGCAGAAAGAATTGCAAAGCAGTGGTGAAATGTTTTATGAGCTTTAAGGGATATTTTCTCACATCAAGCTGTTTTCAATATTCTAGCTTCGGCTTCCAAACACTGGGCACTTTTCCAACAGAATATTTTATTGGCCAAGTTCATTTTTACAGCCATTTTACTGCTAACTCTTGAGATAATAATAGATTTGATTGAATAAGCCAATAGATTTCAGATGTTACACTATCAGTATAATGTAAAGAAATAATAGTATTTTTTTAAAAAAAGATGAAATACAAAAAACAAGAATGAGTTCTTTCTTTAATCTTATTGTCTTAAATTAGAGTTTGTATGAGACCCAGGAATTTCCAGATTAGCTGATTTTAAAGTGGAATGTGATTCATAAAAATTCTTGTACTTTAATGACTCTTCATTACTTGTCAGTTGTTTGTGGTTGGAAGCAAATGGTGATCTCATTTCCTTTAGGTATAATTCAGCTACTCAGGTTTCTTTGTTTATTTAAAATTTTGTTCCTTTTCCTTGCTGCCTACTGTGTTTCTTTTATCTTTGTTATCTGTGTGGGTAGAAGTAGCAGTGCTTATCAGCCGAAGGGCACCGGGCTCTGCGGATGCTTGTATTCCAGCTTGCTCTGCTTGCAGCAGGAGTAGCCGGCCTTATCTCCACACTGAGCCAGTGTAATCAAAACTTAGAAAGTTACTTCAGTCACAAGCACCAGCCGCTGTTAGCTCAGCTATTTTGTTACACTAGGAGAGAATGCGGTTGAGGCTTTAAAGCAATAAAGCCTTTCTCAAGCATAGTTTCGTTGGATACTGCAGCTGCACTTTCCGAAGGGTCTGACTGTGCTACAATTTGACTGCTAAGTAACAAACAGAGATGGAGCACCTGTGAAATCCCCTGTCATTGAATCCTCTCTCACGTGGGAGGAATAGAAAGCAACTGTTTGATGAATAGCCTTTGCTGTAGCAGTGTTCTGCCGTTTCAGTGAGCTGTGCCATACTGGTTTTTGTTTCTTTTTTTTTCTTTTTCTTTTTTTTTTTTTTGAACAGGAGTGCTCCTGTCTGATGATTTCTTCACCAGCTTGAAGTGCACCTGTTTTTAAACTAGGTTTAGTGTAGACTGCATCTCACTCAGCAGTAGTAAACATCCATAGATAGCAGAAATTGCCGAACTCTGAGGTTTATTAAGATTGCTAAGTTGAGGTAGCTGATATCTAAAGAAAAAATTTGTCTGAACTGCTGACGTTTGATCCAGATTATAATAGCTTAAGATTGTTTGCATTTGAGTCCAGGCCAGCCTTTAGTTGCAAATTAGCTGGAAGCTGTGGAGAAGACCCAGAAGGGAAACTTTTGAGTCTGAACCTAGAAGGCGGAAAGCAAATGCAGAGTATTTTAGGGATTAAACTGTGCTTTCTGTGGTCATTTTAAGTTCAGAAAAAGGATATACTTATTTAAAGGAACACTACTTCTGCCTCCCATATACTGATTTAAAATGACACATAAAAATCTAACACTGGAAATTACAGAAACAGCTGGCTTGGACTATTATTTATGGCGTGCGTCAATCAGTCAGATTCATATTCCAGAGAAAAACCAACACGCTGAGAGCGAGCTGGTTGGCAGGATTCTGGAGAAAGCTTGCTAAAAACTGGCAAGAAAGCAAATTTTGTGTAACACAGCCCAGGTGAGAAACCTGGTGCTGCTCATTTCAGCAAGCTAGTCTGAGAAACTCATCTGGGATTATACTCCTTCCTTTTCTGTCTTAGGCATTCCTGCTAATGAAGGAAATTAAATACCTACTATAGACATGTTCCTATCTGCTGGGAAGGAAGCCGTGATGTTACAAGCTGTTCTGTCAAGCAGCACTAAAGCCTTAACAGGTGACACAGACAAGAGACAACTGTTCCTGTTATCAGTAGGTATAACACTGCCTACCATTATCAGTTTGGCCTCCTGGGGGGGGGGGGAGGGGAAGTGCATATTAGATAGGTCCCACTCTTCTTCGGTAGATTCCAAGGGTGCAGGATCAGCTGCTGCAAGACCTGAATGCTCAGAGCTTGGCAGTGGGGCTAGGTGTATCTGCTCCTGCTCACTTAAGATGGAAAGCACAGGCAGCCATGGCAGATAATTGTACTACAATATTTAAAGCAGGAT